AGTTACTACTTACCTAAATGAGCATCAAGTTAAAAAGGTAAGAGAGGCTGCAGTGCTGGCTGATGAATACTTCTTAACCCATAAGATGTATGACTGGGGGTACAGGGAAAACCAATCTAGTGGTCGCCAGGTTAAAGTGAGTGGTGAGGTTTTGAGTCCAGGGTTAAAGTCCTCGTATGGCTGGAAGGATAAAGGGGATCAAAGTAGGACTTGTAACTATTTTCTAGGTAAGGGACACTGGAAGAACAAGTGTCCTGCCCTTAGATCACAGAACAAGTTCCCCAAAATAGCTAAGCCTGCTGCCCCTGCCTATCCTGCCCACCAGATTGACCAAGAGGTGGTTATAACAGCTGTAAAATTCCATACTAACCCAAAATTGTCTGTTTCTGCATGTTCTGACTAACACCCAGTTCAGCCATCAGTGAAAATGTCGCCCACCCTAAATACAGAAGAATGTGATCCAGGTTATACACCTTATTTACATGAGGGTTATGTGTCTCTGCCTGGGAGAAACAAACCAGTTCCAGTTAGGATACTGAGGGTCACGGGTGCTTTGTTATTGAGTCCATTCTTCCATTTTCTTCTGAAACAGACACCGGGAGTTGTGTGCTTTTTAGGGGAATGGGTATGCAACTGTTGTCTGCTCCTTTGCATCGTTTTCTGTTGTATTGTGCTTCAGTGAAGGGGGAGGTGACCGTGGGAGTCTGGCCGTCGCTACCTGTTCCAGGAGTGGCAATCATCCTTAGGAATGATCTGGCTGGAAACAGAGTATGGCCTGATCTACTTCCTTCACTGGTAGTTCGTTCTACCCCGGTGGTGAGGGAACCTGCTGACCTAGATGTATTACCAGCCTGTGCAGTAACCCGAGCACAGACTGGTAAAGAAAAAAATTGAAGTTAGTTCTAAAGATGTTATGTCGCTGCCTGTTGTTCCTTTGTCCAGTTCAGCCCATGGGTATTTCCTACAAGAAGGGGTTTTGGTAAGAAAATGGGTGCCTCAAGGTGAACAGTTTTCTGGTGAAGCAATATGTCAAATTGTAATACCTAGCCCTCTGAGAGCAGGTGTGTTGCAGACTGCCCATGATGATGTTGCAGGTCACATGAGAGTGCAAAAGACGTACAACTGAGTGCTCTGGTATTTCTACTGGCCTCGTTTAAAAAGGGATATTTCCGCGTACATCAAAACATGTCACACTTGCCAGTTAACAGGTAAACCGAGCCAAACTATTAAGCTTGTTCCGCTGTCACCTATTCCTGCAGTGTCCTCCCAATTTGAGCATTTGCTGATAGAGTGTGTAGGCCCTTTACCCAAGTCTAAGGCTGGGAGTTTGTACCTACTGACGGTGATGTGTCAATCCACCCAGTACCCTGCCACCTATCCTTTGCGAAACATTCCAGCTAAATCTGTGGTGAAGGCATTGAGTTAGTTTGTCTGTTTTTCGGCATTCCTAAGGTTACAAACTGGGGTACAAATTTCACATCACAGCTGTTTGGGGAAGTGAAACATGCAACCTCTAGTGCATCATCATCAACAAAGCCAGGGGGCTCTTGAGAGGTTCCATCAAACTCTAAAGTCCTTGTTATGGTCTTACTGCACTGAGTTAAATCGTGATTGGGAAGAGGCGTTACCTTGGTTGTTGTTGGCTGCCAGGGAAGTTGTTCAGTCCAGTACAGGTTTTAGTCCAAATTAATTGGTTTTTGGACACAATGTCAGAGGTCCGCTTGCAGTCCTACATGAGGACTGGGAGTTACCTGACCCCTCAGCCAACCTGTTGGATTATGTAAATGGTTTCAAGCGACAGCTCTTTGAGGCAGTTAGACTGACTAGAGGAAAATTAGAGGTGACACAAATAAAATGAAACGACTATATGATAGGCAAACAGAGACACGTATCTTTAGTCCTGGTGATCAGGTCATGGCTTTGTTGCCTTTGGTTACTTCTCCTTTTCAGGCCAAATTTCTGGGGCCCTATACTGTTATATTAATCTGTTGAAACTTTATTTTTCTCATACTTCAACAAGAACATGTGGCATTTTATTTAAGTAGATACTTAACCAGTGGGATGGTCCTTTGCACTCCACCTATGGGACCCTGTTCTTATGGGGGGGAATGTGACAACCCTGGAGTTGTCCTGCTGTGGTGTAGTGCTGGTTTATGTGTTTCAGGTTCCTGTAGGTGGAGTCAGACCATGGGAATCAGCAGGGATGTGGCACACCTGTGCTGACTAGTATTTCAGAGGACTGCAGACTGGGCTCTGGCTCTCTGTCGGTTCTCTCTTTCACCAGGACCACCATGGACACGGCAGCGGCACAAAATTTATAATCGTTTGATTCTTATTTTTATACACACACAGACACCACTGACAGAACTGATTACCATGTTTATTTTAAGTTAGTTTTTTTTGTAAATAAACACTTAAACTGCTGCTTAAACATCCTCCTTATTTGTTACATAACAGAGCCAATGTGTAACACTGACCGATATAACATCCTTCCACCAAGTTTCATGGAGAGAATAATAAGCACATTTATGATGATGTCCTGCTGCTGAGTTGATGCCCTTCTACAGCCCTGTCCAGCTCTCCTCATGTCACTGCCGGTCTCCTGGTATCTCCTCCATAATACTGTAACCATTTAGTGTTCCCTTCATTTTTTTGAGCAGTGTACGGGGCTAACACTATCCTGTAAAACAATCATTTATATATTGTTGCTCAGATTAAAGTAAAAAAAAACAAACAGAGTTTGATCTACACAACCAGTGACGATATTATAGAGATGATACTCTATATCGTCTAAAGTTAATGCCTCTCGCATTATACACAACAGCATTCAAACATTTTCAAATATATTTCTGTTTTCTGATGTGCATGCTTTTCAAAGACTATTAATTTAAAATGTATACATTATATATTTACAGCATACAGTAATGTCAGGCCCGAGCACACTCTTAACTGTAAACAATTCTGTGAATTATTCATTCACAAGGAACAAACACAAAGACAAACTGTATCTGAGTTATTACCAAGCACATACATTAAGTTTTGTGTATTGGCACATTATGACCAGATGAAATCCAGTTTTGTCAGCTGCACATTCATGCTGCTGATCTCCTGTTCTATCGCATCACAAAGGTGTTACTGGATTCACATCTGGTGACTGGGGAGGTCACTGAAGCTCTCTGAACTCTCTGTCATGTTCATGAAACCTGGTGAGACTTTACCTTTTTGACGTGGAACGTTGTCCTGCTGGAACTAGCCAGCAGGACAATCCATGTTCCATATCCATTTAAAAGATGGTAAACTGTGATCACCAACAGATGAACAGCAACAATACTCAGATAGACTGTGACATTAAACCATGCTTGATTGGTATAAAAGAACCCAAAGTGTAAAGAAAACATTTGACTCAAGTTAGTGACTCTATCATGAGCATCCTCAGCAGAAATCGAGATCCTGTCCAGTGTTAGTGAGTCTGCGTCTCTGCAGCCTCACATTTCTGTTCTTGGCTGACAGGAGAGGGACCTGATGCGGTCCTGCTGTAGTCCTTCTGGTTTTCATTTGAGGCTCCATTCAGAGTTAAAACTAGAAGCTGTTCTGTGTAAATCTCATGAGACAAGGAACAGTCAAACTAATAAAAGACCCTGAGATCAATTGCTTTCATCATTCTGTTTGATGTGAACATTAACTGCAGCTCCTGACCTCTCTCTGCAGGATTGCACACACTGAACTGCCACTGGTAATGTAATGTGATGTGATGTGTGTTGATGCAGGTCTCTGTGACTCTCCAGCCTTCAGTGTTCCAGTTCCCACACTGTGCATGATGTGACGTGGACACTGAAACAAGCTGCTGGCTGCACACTGCAGGTTCTTTGACATTATTGTCTTTTAGCCAGAAGTTGTATTTTGCCATGTCATCAAAGCAAAGGAAGGGTGTGGCTGTAGCAGGCTCTCCGTAAATAATACATTATTGGTGCCCTGACTTTACGCTCTCAGGAGATCTTCCTCTGTGGTACATAGTCAGCTCTTCAGCCACTCATTTTCTAATTTGATAATGGCCTGTATCATAGCTCAACAACACAAACAACACAAACCCTTAAGGATCTGTTGGGCAGAGCTTTGTGCTTTCTGGGAGCACAAATAGAGCAAATGCAATGCCTGTAAGACTGAAGTCAGGGATAATTACCTCATGCTCTATAATTATTGAGCAGCAGCTGCACAAGCCAGTCACAGATACTGTAGCTGTAGAGTCCATTTATTTCCTTTCACCTTCACAGTAAATGTGACGCTCGCTCGAGGTGGGATTCACAGAACAAACCATACTGTTGTTGTTACAGTTATTATTGGACTTGCAACTATAATGTGGATGTATTTATCTAACAGTTTGATCAACACTCAGAAATAAGGTTTAAGGATGATTCCTGCTAGTGTTGAAGGTATATATTACTCCCATGATCCTGAGAAAAAATACTTTCGATTTACTTTGGTATTCCAGCGGTTTCTTAAACTAATGGAGATCAGTGGTCGTCATAAATGATGAGCAGTTATTTCTTCTTCGTGTGAATACTTAGAGGTTAAAATGATGTCGTTTCACTGTGTTCTCTTTTGTCCCGTTTATTGTGAACAGCATATTTTTAGTTGTGAAATAATGCCTTGCAGTGCATTTTGGTTTTTTTTGTCAAATTAGTTTGAATTTAAGAGAAGATGATTAAAAATATATTAGTTTTAAATTTTAAATTTTTGATTAATTCCTTATTATATTAATCGTAATAAAAAAGAATCGTTAGATTATACGATTAATCGAAAAAAAGAATTGTTAGATTAAGCAATAAAAAAAAAGATCGATAGGTGCAGCCTTATATACCATCATATATACCAACACAACACACTCACACACACACACCTGCACATAGCATGAGATTCATTCCTCACGTTGGGCCTCGGCAACACGATAAGACATCGTTTCTATTTAATTTGGCAGAAGTGTGGTGTTTTATTTTGAAGGGGCCGAGCGGACGCGGGGGTGAGCACGCGGTGTGGATGACAGATGTGAGAACATCGGTGTGGAGCTCTCTGCGTCTCAGTGTCGCAGTTTGGTTCACATCCGCAGTTCGAAGCGCTCGAAGCCGAAGAAGGAAGTGCAGCCATGGCGCAGGGCCTCCGAGACAGATTTGACAAGTTCCTCCATGAGAAGAACCTCATGACGGACGCGCTGGAAAAGATCGAGGTCAAAACGGGAGTGAGCAGGACGTACATCGCCATCGGTGAGTGTTGGAAGAAAGGAGGGGAGAGAGGAGAGGGAAGAGAGGAGAGGAAGAGAGGAGAGGAGGCGCGGGCCTCGAGTTTACCACTATGAGTGTAGAGACCGGAGGCTGTGTTCTTTAACCAGATGTGCTCTGATCTGTTCCAGCTGTCATCGCCATCATCGCTGTTTACCTCGTCATCGGTTACGGAGCCTCCCTGCTGTGTAACCTCATCGGCTTTCTTTACCCAGCATACATTTCGTAAGTGGGCTAAGGTTACCGGGATGGGCCTCACCCTGCCACACCCATCACGAGCACGCACGCACACACACGCACATTCATTATTCCAGTGTAATAAACAGTCTATATGAGTTGCAATGTGAAGGACCGGATCTGTGTGTGTGTGTGTGTGCGTGCGTGCGTGTGTGTGCGTGCACAGTATTTCATCTTCACAATAACATATTATACAAATGCTTTTAACTGATCTATGAGTCATCATTTTGTGATCGTGGTTCCATTATGTCGTTTCTCATTCAACATTTCTAAGGTTGTCGTATATTTAAAGTTACCTCCACCTCTCTTATCTTGGACGTCTCTTTGCGTCAAGGCTGTAACAAAATGTAGTGACACAGATGTAGAAAGACCAGGATTGTTCTCAGCTAGCGAGACTGTGATACTGTGGTTAATAAGACATTCAATAGCTTTAGTCAGTCTTATGATCCGAACGCTGAATTAAAAATGTGAACAATAGTCACATTCATAAGAAAATGTTATCAGAGCCTCAACAGTCCAAAACACAGCTGCTTCATGTCCTATCAGTTGTGAAACAGTTGTGAAAACTAAACCTTTCAGAGTAACAGACTGCAGTAAAATATTGAGTTAAGATATTGAATTTGGGTTTATACTTTTAGAATTTGAGTTTATTGAACTCCAAACATTTGCGTCGTTGAAGTTATTCCACGTATTGTTTTCAGAATTTTTACTCTTGTTCATTTTCTCTATAGTTAAAGCGATTCAAATGTTTGTGCTAATTTTTTTTCCATTTACAAATGAGCATTAACTCTAGAGCTGTACCGGGAATCAAGCGTAGCAGTTCAATATGAATACATGACTATATTTTATTGAACTGCCAGTATTTAAACAGGTTTCAACAGGATCTTCAGAGGGACGGCATGTTCCATATCAAACAATAGGGCTGCGCGACATGGACCAAATCTCATATCCCGGTATTTTAAGTCTGAATGGCGATATACGATATATATTTGTACTTTAAACAAAACGGTCAAAGTGTTTCGTTTTAACTCAATGTCACAAGTGTCTTCATAAACTTGTTTTATTTTACACTATCAAAGTCAAAACCTTCCAGGTTTCCATTTTCTGCTCAACAAAAAGCTGTGCAAATAACAGATACAAACAGGTGTTCCCTGTTTGAAACATGTGCAGTAATATGTTAAAATAAGAAATGAAAGCTATAGTTGAAAATCAAATAGCCTACATCCTACACAATAGGCATAATTCTGCTCTTACAGAGCTGTGCAAAGAACAAACATGTAAACAGTAGTACAGGCCTGACCTGTTTGGAACAGTATTCGGGTAAAAAACCTCTTACACAGTTATGCAAATAATACAAATGTGAACAAGTAATGGCTGAAAAAACTGGACTAGACATCACATTGTTGTTGTATGTTCACCAGAAGGCAGAAGACAATGATCTCTCAGAGCCTGAGCAGGCAGCTGCCTCTGTCTCACTCTCACTGACTCTTCCTCACAGAGGAAACGATTTGAGATGAGGAGAAGAGTGAAAGAGAGGAGCGCTCACTCTGCAGTTTGAACTCTGTATTAAAAGGAGGCTGACGCAAGGGTCTGAATTCACCATGACTCCTCATCATATGTAACCCTAAAACATAATCATAGAAACAAGTCATCGACTGAGCATGACGGTGTGTTGTCTGTAGTCTGTTTATGGCCTAAGTGCATAGTGAACAGTAGACACGGTATCAAACAGCAGTGTTATAACACACACTGTATTGGCTGCAGTTTTATTGTCCCCCTGACATTCATGCCACTAAAGCATATCGAAATAAAAAAAACAAATAGACAGGACGGATATTGACTTGCTATGTGCAGAGAAGACTTCACCATAACCACAGCAGCGTACTGTTGTAATGGGTGAGGAAGGAGGGGCAGAGCATTATTACAGCCACCACAGACGTACATGGGGAATTGTGTAGGTGTGCAACCTGTTGGGACAGGCTTCCTGTGCACAATGTCGCCACACGTGTCTCATTTTGAAACAATACAGGATTGCTGTTTTGTGCATTTCCAAACTCTGCAGGTTACAATACAAATGAGAACAAGAACACACAGAGTAATGGCTCGCTGTAGTGATGTCTGGCTCTGGTACATCGCATTATGCAACAATTCAAAATACACTTCTTGAAATAAGTCTAATTTTTGTGATTCTTAAACAGTTCTGATTGACGAGTCTGTGTTCAGATAACATGTGGTTATATGAATGAAAAAGACGCCACAGTAGACGGCCATGTGTGATTTATTACCGTCATGACACATCATGTCCTTCAGATGGCTGCAGGGACTGAAATACCACCAATCAAACACATCAGAAAAATGGTAGTACAGTGACCCGTTTGGCTCTGGAGGAGAAATCTAAGAAAATCAACTAATGATGTCATTAGGGTTTCACTTGGAGATTTAACTTTAACAAGAGACGGAAATATGTGAATGGGTGAAATGTACTGTAAACTGCTTTGAGTGGTCATCAAGACTAGAAAATGGAATAAATACAGACCATTTACCATAAAAGTGAGACTAGTATACCTTCAGTCATGTTAGAGACATGCTAGTACAGTGATTCACTGAAATTCATGCTTTAATGGCAGTTCATCCTTACTACATTTACATTTCTTAAGGGTTAAGGGTAGAGGATGTCACAGCTCATTAAAGCCCTATGAGATAAATTGTGATTTGTGAATATGGGTTATACAAATACATTTGATTGATTTATACACCTCAATTTCATATTTTAGTTATTATTATTATTTGGGTTTGTAGAATGAGTCTGTCATGTTTTTTTCCACAGTCTATCAAACTATTTCTCTCAGATTCTGTTCCTCTCTCTCTCCAGGATTAAGGCCATTGAAAGTGCCACCAAAGACGACGACACTAAATGGCTGACCTACTGGGTGGTGTATGGACTCTTCAGTGTGGCAGAGTTCTTTGCTGACATCTTCCTCTCCTGGTTCCCATTCTACTATATTGGAAAGGTAATCCACTGGAATTGTGCTGAAAGTACTTTGATGAGTTGATTTGGAAGTTTTTTCCCCCTGAATTTCCTTGTGAGTTTAGTCTTTAGAGTCTAAAGTTGACTGGTGAGTTTGGTTGTCATGGAGACATCAGCGTTGCATGGTATTCAGGCTCACACTGATTACATAACACACCCCCCTGGCCCCACTGTCTGGTTCATTGTTTGTAATGGACATAAAACCCATTCGCCTCATGTTTCATGGACTTGCTCTACAATGAAGCAACGCAGCAAAACACAATTACAACTTTTGTATTGTGTAAAAAATGTGGATGATGATTCAATTCAATTCAATTTTATTTGTATAGCGCCAAATCATTATAAACATCATCTCAAGGCACTTTACATAGAAGGTCAAGACCTTAAAATCATATTAATATAGAGAAACCCAACAGTTCCTATAATGAGCAGCACTTTGGAGACTGTGGAGGAAAAACTCCCTCATTAACAGAGAGAAACCTCGAGAACCAGACTCAATGTGGGCGTTCATCTGCCTCGACCGGTTGGGGTGAGCAAAGAAAAAAGGGGAGAAGAAGGGAGATGGGTGGAAAAGAGGCCAGAGAAGAGAGAGAGAGAGATAGTGGAGAGGGGGAGAGAGAGAGAGAGAGAGAGAGAGACCGGGAACACTTGAACACCATCAGGTATCAGATCTGACTAGTTAAAATGTAAACAATAACAGTGTAAAGAAGTAATTGATTATTAATGATAACAATAACAATTCATATAATAATTAATTACGTATGATTAAAGATAATAATAATAATTCAAGTATTGTTGTTAATAATAATAATAATCATAGTTGTTCTGCAGTTCTGGAGTCAGAGATATCTGCAATGAGAGAGAGAAAGAGAGAGAGGGACTATGGGAGGAAAAAGTGACATAGTTATTGACATTAATAAATAAATGTGAGTGCTCAGTGATAATCAGACTTCGTTGGGAGAAATGAGGATATGGCGAGCTGCCTCAGGTAACGAATGGAAAACACGGCACGCCTTCAAGTGAGGATGCCCACAATGTTAATGCCCTGCAAATATAACATGTGTGTGTAGCTGAGTCATTAAATTTAGGGCGGAGCACTGTGCACTGTCGATAAGGAACGACTCAGTGCTGACGACTCGCTCCCCAGCAGCCAGCAGTGCAGAGAGCCTCAAAGAAGAATGACAGGCATGGAGAGCGGGAGGCTCCCTTAACGCCTCACAGATTATCTGGGAAATTACAAGTTGACAGATATTGAACGCATCACATGCAGATTACCGCTAGACTACATTTAACAGATGTTCCCTTAATGCCTCATTTACAGATAATCAGTAGAAGGGTGGGCGGTGCGCTGTGTAGAGCCGTTATGGTTGAGCAGGGTTGTGTCATTGCAAAATGTGCCACTATGAGAAGTCATGGATGAATGTACTTTGTAATCATGATATAGTACTAATCACTGTAGTAGCAGTACACGGTCTGTATTTATTTAATGCCACTCAAAGCACGTTACAGTACAGTTTTTGCTTCACCCTTTCATACACACTTTCATACAGTGCATCTATGTGCAGCATTCATTAATCATACACTGCTAGTTGAGGGTTCAGTAGTTTGCCCACTTTGGCACTGTGAAGGGGGAGATGGAAATTGAACCACCAATCTTCTCGTTAGTGGACGACCCGCTCTACCTCCTTAGCCATAGCCATTTACATGGACTCAAAGAATGAACCGAATAAATTTTGGTGATCGAAGCCCAAGAGGTGAAGGTCACGGTGGCTTGATGTAAGATCAGCTTGAGGGAATGTCTTCAGTTTTGGTATTCACTTGACCCTAAAAGATGAACTGATTAGACTTTGGTGCCTGTAGGTCAAAGTTCAAGGTCTCAGTGACCTCACGTCCCTATAAATGTGACATATTTGGACTGCTCAGGGGGGATTTCATTACATCTGGACCAATTCACTTGGACTCACTGGTTAACTGATATTTCAGTGGTCAACTGCACTTTTGAAAGGAGACATACAACCGCAGTGTGGCAATTCTACTTAACTGTAGCACCACTGTACGGAGAGAATGATGTTTTCTATGTCTTGATGACGGATAATTTATAAATTAAAACGTTTGTAAAGATAAGGCAGGAATAATTGGACTGAATGAAGAAACCCTGTGAAGGCCACAGACACCAGCTTTTTTCTCTTATTTCCTAAGATGACTTATTGAGTGTTAAAGAATAGTTGAACCAGTGGAGCCTTTAATGTACCTGTGATGTCCTGACGCATCTCGTCTTCGTTCCCAGTGTGCCTTCTTGGTGTGGTGCATGGCTCCGACTCCTTCTAACGGATCGATCCTGATCTATAACCGCATCGTTCGACCTATCTTCCTCAAGAATGAAGCCAAGATAGACGACGTGGTGAAGAACATCAAGGACAAGGCGTCAGACGCTGCTGACAAGTTCAGGGATGAGGGTGAGTAACTCAACACGTGCGTGTCGAGCTTACTGTCAACACAAACCGACTTAAAGCTGAAATTCGGCCAAATTCTTACATTTCAAAGATACCTGTGGAATTAGGAAAGATCTGAACTTTACATGAAAGTTGGGATCAACAGTGAAATAAACTTCCAACTAAATTATCACGATTACTAAAGTACCAACGATCAACTGAAAGGTGTTAATAACAAAATATGTTCATCTTGAATAAAGAAAAGTCTGGGTTTATCACAAGCGGCTGATGAACAAATACATTCCAAATACAACTGGTTGTAAACAAGACTTTCCTAATCACTTCAAGATTCTCTGAAACTTATTTAGCGAGTCACACTGGCCAACTGTCACTTCTGTTTCACACAGCGGCTGGTAGAGCGGGGCTCCACTAGATGGAGACAAAGCACACCGATATTCTGTCAGGCTCATAGATCAGTGTCTCTGAGGTTCAGACGACAGACGTGAGGCTGTTCTCTGTCAATATGTCAATGACCCATGAAATGAACAACACACAATAATCCTGTGTCCCTCTGTTGTTTTTACACTTTCAACTGATGACCCATCCTGCAGTCAGGGCCATTTACTTAATCTGCATCCAATCAGAAGCTTTCTGGAATTTTGAACTTCCCCACGACTGTAAATTCTTACAGTTAGCGATGACGTACATGGACCCACACATTCCGATTCACGCGCAGGTGATGGAAAGACGTCCTTGACATCGGAGAGCAGGCTGTCGTCATGACGTTCCATCTTGAGTTGATACTTACTGTCGACTCTGCCACATTCCGAGCAAACACAACTCTACACAAGCTGAACCTCAGCACAATGCAACTGACGCTCTTGTACTCTTAAAGGAGGAAAACATTTACACAGTGAGAACAGATGGGGAGAACCTCGGGGAGGTGGATAAGATAGTGAAGCTTTCATTATTCTATTCTATGTAAAGTGCCTTGAGATGATGTATATTAAGATTTGGCGCTATACACATTAAATTGAATTGAATCATCAGGGGCTACTTTCTAAAATGTGAGTATTATTATTATCTGGCGGGCTTGTGAAAATGTCTGCGGGGAAGTGTTGAGTTTTACTGACAGCAGCTTCACATCGCATGCCAAAGTATTCAAGTCTGGATGTTAGAGAAGAAAAGTGACATGCGTGTGTAATTTGTCCACAGCCAAGAAAGCCACTGCTAACATCATTTTTGAGGAGAAGAAGAGCTCCTAAGAAGGACGCACATGTGTGCTGTCGCCTCTGGAGCCCATTCTGTTGCAGAAGAAATGTTGCCTTGAATATGATCCTGTTCAGTCCGTAACCTTTATCGTCATCCATGCTGTATCCGACGCTGCACATGTGTCACATGTATGAATGAAAGCAGCCGCCGCCGCCGCCCCCKCCCCCCCCCCGGTCAGTTTACTTTGCCTCGTCAGCTGTCAGATAACTGAAGCGCTTTGTGAACCAAATAAAGACAAACTTGTTGAAGCGGTTCTCTGATTTGGATTCTTTCTAGTTGTTCTCTATGCTAAAGTGAGAAATGTTCAATAGTTTGTAGCCTCTTTCATTCACAGACGTTCTTCTGTTTCTGTTTATTGAATTTCAAATGAATCAAATAAGCAGCCATTTATTATCATCCTCAAATTTCAAGTAGTAGTTTAAAGGTACAAGGTATTTTTAGAGTTGTATTATATATTTTATTATGTGTTTATTGATTGTTTTATGTTGTTTTCCATCAACTCATTTCTAAAGTGACCTATTTATTGATGAATTATGATATTAATTTCTTTAAATGATTCCTATATATATTGACCAGTTAATGTAACTAAAAATCAATAAATGCAATTCTTGTTAATTTACTCAAACTATGGATTAAAAACGAATCTGTAAAACCTTCTAACTCACGTTTTTATTGTCCATTCATACACTGATTAATGGAACGCACAGGCGCTGTAGTACTTGATATATCATGACACTTTAGGTTCATATTGTGTTGTATCTGAAAATATCTGCAAACATCAACCACACTGATTTTAAACTGGTTTGATTGAATTATCAATCTTTTCAGTACTTAGTTGTTGTAAATAAATGTGACAACAGTTGTTAAAGGCGCAGTATATACAGTGTGTAGTGTTTAGGGACATCTAGTGGTTGAAGTTGCATGTTGCACCTCACCCTTCCCTTCCAAACATGAAAGAGAAGCTGTGGTAGCCTTTCGGCAAAAGTTGTTTAATTTGACCAGTTTGGACTAATGTAAAAAACATGGTGGCCTCAGTTAAGAGGACCTGCTCCAGATATAAATAAAAAGTATTTAAGGTGGAGAAAACAACAATTTGTACAATTTAGATCATTACACACAAGGGAAATTCAATTTCTGCCAATAGATACCTTTCACCTAAGCACATTAAGAAACATTCACGTCAATCTCTTGTTACGTTCTAAGTGTAAAAGTACCCTGAAATTTGAACTGAATTAAGTGCAACCGCCGAAACAAGAATTTGTGATTTTAAGGCTACAAAATAAAGGAAAGATCTCAAAGTATCTAAAGACACCATGTCAGGATGCCATGATTTTTAGGTGATGCGCAGGTCTGTTCTAGAGTTAAAGAAGAAGCTGTTATTTTTTTAAATTTTTTGTTTAAACCTTTTTTTTATTTTTATTTTATGAAGTCCTTTTTCAGTATACTTAGAAAGAGAGAAAGAAAGGAAAAGAACAAGAAAAAGAACAAGAAAGAAAAGGCTTAGATGGAAAAATTAACATACGCATCTATATTATTACACAGGGAGAGAAGAATCATAGTAACAATGTGTACATTTCAAGAGGTAGGTCCAGGGTTTAGAGATATTTCAGTAATTTTTGTTCCATTTGTCCATAGTCTATCCTTCATATCAAAACAGGACAGAAACATTCTCATGCTAGTGCCCAACAACACTGGGAGAGCACATCAAATAGGACAGTAGGGGGCACTGTACTCAAGCAAAAAAGAAAAATGAAGCAGTGCACTTTATTAGTTGTTATTAACTGCCTCCTGTTGTGATAAAGTGTCACTTATTTTTCCATGTCATACAGAAGCTGTTATTTTTGAAAGAATAAATGTCAGTGCAGGAATCCAGCCTGATCTCTTATATATCAGATATCAATCCATTAACACCTCTCAAACACTCATAAACATGTTTTGGGTTAGGCTACACACAAATAGAGTGTAAATATAATAAGATGTGGTTGTAGAGGCTTGGTGCAGTGGTTGCCTCACAACAAGAAGGTTCTGGGTTGAAACATAAACGTTCGGCCAATCTCACTGCAAGGAGTCTGCATTCTCCCCGTGCCATGAATAAGACACGAAGCTGAACTGAAATCCCTAAATTGCCTGTAGATATGAATCTGAGTGTGAATGGTTGATTTCCACTCCAGGTTTATTTGTTGTAGATTCATTTATGTTAAGTTTGGCAAAAACAAGTGGAGTTCAGGTCCACCTGATTAAAATCATAATTATGTTGAATGCAATGTTATATTTGACAGACAGATATTTGCAGTTAAAACGTTGCTGCAGCTAATTTCAGTTAATGGAGAATCATTTGCTGGTTGTAAATAGGTCATTTCCACATCCAAACACCGTTCTTGTGAAATATATGTATATTAAATTACTGTAAGATATGTGCATGTAAAGTCAGACTCTCAGGCCTGACATTAAAGTGTGTCCTGAATGTGACTGCGGAGACCACGAATAATCACATCTCACTTCCGCTCTGTGTGCAGAGAAACATCTACATCTTCTCTGCACAAAGCAGATGGTGTTGTATCAGCCTGTCTGGGTTTACATGAGTTTGTGTCAGTGTGAGCAGTTGTCACATGTCCCAGCACATCCATGATCTCCCGTTCTGTCCCATCACAAAGGTTCTACTGGATTCACATCTGGTTCACTGAACTCTGTCATGTTCATGTCAGCAGTTTGAAGAAAACATTCCACAAAGTATGTTATTAAATAATCCTTCATTAATCGTTTTTATAATATTGATTTGAAGTGATATTGCCCAGCCATACCCACAAGCCGGGCTGTCTCCATGCACTCATAATGTTGAGTTGAGATCTGCAGCCTCAGCAGAAATCCAGATTCATCAGACCAGGCTGTTTTTCAGTCTTAAACTGTCCAGTGTTGGTCAGTCTGTTTCACTGCAGCCTCACATTTCTGTTCTTGGCTGAAAGGAGAGACATGGTCTCTGTAGATCATCCTCCTCCTCAAGGTTGGACATGCAGTTATCTGAGTGACTGTGGTCCTTCTGACAGAGAGAATGCCGCTCCAGTTGGACTGCTGTCTGACCTCTCATCAACACAGAACTGCTGCTCACTGGATGGTTTTCATTCCATTCAGAGTTTAACTAGAGGCTGTTCTGTGTTAATCTCAGAAGATCAGAAACACTCAAACCACCCATCACATCACGGCAAAACTCTAATGACAAATCAGTGGTTGTGTCTTTGCAGATATCGACCAAGTGCACTCAGAGAAAGTGTGGCAGAATCAAAAAGTTGACACTTTTTTGAAGAGTTGGTACGAGTGAGTACACTGATTGATTTTAATGGCTTCATAAACAACTATATAAAACAGTTCATAAAAATTCATGCACTTTCAGTGTAAATTCATTTTTGAAATAGTGGAAATTTATGTACAACAGTGTGAACTGTAACAGTGACTTCATTCAGTTGGGTGGTTCACCACAAATATACTTGGCTGCATAGAAACATTATTATTGCCTACACAGAAAATAAAATGAAAACAAAATCATGTAAAAAGATTATTTAAGATCTAACAGGAGCTTCTATTGGAAGATAACTGTCTTTCTTCAGACCATGATTACAAAAGTCAGTTCCTTCCAACTCACTGATTTCACTGAGAAAAAAGAACTAAGAATTAGAGAATAAAACTGAGTATCGTTTAAGAACTTTCCCTTTACCAAAAGTTACATTCTGAAAGCATCATCAGGGAAGAACTACTGTACATAAAGTCAAGAGTAGAACGACAAAAAAGCCTGAGTTGATGGGGAAAAGTAGAGTCATAATAAATCCAAAAAGCCTGAGGAAAAAGACCACTGATTTACTATTTTACAAAAATTTACAACAGTATTACTGAAAGAAAAAAATGATACAAGTTGCTCTAAAAAAAGAAATCCAAGTAATTCTTTACAGCTAAGATATGTTATTAAATAATTCACACCTGGTGGAAAAAAGAAAACAAACTGAGGAAATGAGAAATGCTGTAAATGAGGTACTTCAGGTGGTGAGCCTGAGCCCAGACTGGATTCAACCTTTACATCAACCTGCAATGTGATTCATGTGACAACTGACTTATCACTGAGTTAACACTTAAATAAGCTTGATAATCACATTATGCATGAGAGAGGGACAGAGACAGACAAACATAGAGAACAGTCAAATACAGGATCCAGTGTCATGGGTTGGTGGGAATATGAGGCAGCACTCAGGGTCAATTGTGTCCATTTCCAGAATTTAAAAAAGTTTATAAAAATAACAAAGAACGATGTGCTGCATGCTGTCGGGCCTACACAACAATGCAGCTTTAAACTCTTAAATAGAAAAATATGCTTTGATTATTTATCTGCTACCTGGTTTGAGCACGCCCTGGCGTTCTCATCCCAGGTTTCCGAGATGAGTTGAAGCGTAGAGATGACAGTCATGCTGAACTGACTGATACACAGTGCTTCAAACTGCTTCAGGTTGGAGTCCACAGTCCTTGTAAGGCATTTGCTGAGTCTATGGCTGCTACTAGCAGACCCAGGCAGCTCCTGTTATGTCTTGCGGCTGCTCCAGATCTGCTCGGGTGTGCTCTTGTGGTCTGACGAGTAGTCGAAAGGTGAGCGGTGCCCCATGGGTGAGCGCCCATCGTAGGGCGAGCGCTGGTCTCGAGGAGAGCGGGGCCCGCTGGCTGAGGCTCGCTGCTCAGTCTGCCAGTCTGAGTGGTAGCGGTAGGAGGAGCGCTGGTCGGAGTGGGAATAATCCTTCATGTCCAGCCGGTGGTCTCTGCTGCTGCGGAACTCCTCCAGCTTCCTGTGCTTACTGTCATTGTAGTATCTGCACACAAACACACCATCAGCATGACCACATGACAAAGCAGAGACAGCACCTCATCTGTACCAACTTCAAGTCATTTGATTTTCGATTTTATGATATACAACCAAAGATTTTCCTGTCCTTCCTGTAATGTGAATAATGTCACCGCTATGCAGGGAATATTATATTAGACAGCTTCTGTAATGTATGGCACACAGGGATTGAAGTTTAGATTTTTTTTTCCTCACCAGCAAGAGGCAATGTGCAGACTTAATGTGTCTGTGTCACATTAAAAATACCTAAAAACCTATTTAATATTATGCAAACAGCAGCAGCATAAACAGATCATGACTTCATTTATCACACACCTGCAGCTCTGTGCACTGCTCTTTTCCTCAATGTCACTTCCTGTAAGCTCAGCTCTAGAATTGGACCTAATATGGACATCAAAGCTGTTTTCAGACATGAACCCTGGAGGATGTCTGCACAGTTGGGTCTGGAGTTTGCCTTTCACACATGAGCAACGCAGCAGGAGATTCTCCGCTCAGGCGAGTTCACAACAACACAGGTATCTCCGGATCAGGGGCAGACACATGTAGGTCATGACATATTCATTTTGTTGTTTAAGATCGTGTTTTTGTTGACAGCACATTGACACCATCGTCAGCCATCATCACTAAGAGTTCCCTTGACATCTTATTCGGTGTCTTCTACGTGTGACAACGCTTCTTCATCATGAGGTTTTTTTGTCAGTATGTCATCTATCGCCTGTTAGAAACACCATCAACAAGCCCACTCGCTCACTGTGAATCCTCCTGAGGATCTTCTGCTGTTTTCTTACTTTGGACATTCTCTGGAGTTTTTACTAAGGGCTGGCTGGAGAAACTCCAGAGATAGTCCAGGGCTTCTCACTCAGACATTTGCGCTCTCACATACAGCCTCTCTAGGGAATGTCCAGAGTTCAGTACATGTCTGACAGCAGCTTTATTTCCTTTATGAACAGATCACCTAACCTAAACACAGTTAGACAACTTATGTAACATGCCAACTTAATAAATGTTAACGTTTCCTCAAACAATAACAGCAGAAGCACCATCTATAGGAGAACTGTTCAATGCTGCAGGCTACGCAAAAAAAAATATTAAAATGGTACGTTTGGTTATGTTTAATATTATGATCAATAAATCTCACAGACCACTGAGCCCACAATGAATTGATCCTACTAGCACATAGTGTTCCTACAGGCTGATATCTTGACTCTGGGGCATGGAGCTCCTTTACTGTTTAAATAGCAGCTTTTTTATCCCCCAAGCAAAGAGAAATGAAAACAATGGCAGTGACATAATTTCCACATGTCATATGGGTTTGATGAAATGAATAAATGAAGAGGAGACTGGAAACTTCAGAGCACTTGTCTGGGAAGCTGATTTTTTTCTGTTTTTTTCTTTCAGCTTTACAAACTTCCATGAAATAACCAGGGGCCTCAAACAGTGCATGGGATTCATACTTAAAAAGTGTACATGCGCACAACAACGCAGTGTTCACTTTATAAAGGTGCACCTGGAAATACTTGGTTCGTACTTGGATCTGCCCCATATCCCGCCCTCTACACGCCCACATTCAACCATAAATGGTCAATGCAAAGAGTCATGACAGAGTCACGGCATCGAGTGATGAGAAGAGGAAGCGAAACCTTCTGATACTGACATCGAGGTGTTTGTGAGGGAGGTGGTACGATGCACTTTTTCTCTGTTTGCAGTTGATGCGTTTAGTGTTCCCTGACAAAAGCACGTGAAGCTCTCAGACAGTCTTTGTCACTCACCTGTCCTGTCTGTCTCTGTCTCTGCTGTCTGGTCTGTAGTGGTCTCTGTCTCTGTGGTCTTTGCCGTTGCTGAAGGAGTACGGTCTTTTCCTTGACTCCCCTCCTGCTGTCTTTCTGTGGGACTCGGAGCCGTGTCTCTCCTTGCTGCTGCTGCTCTCGTGGTATCGACCTGTAGCCTGATGTCTTTCAGAGCTGTAGCTGTCCCTGCTGCTCTCATCCTGGTGAGAGTTATCCTTCAGCCTTTCAATATCTGAGTATGAAGACCACACATAAATCAGGATACACAGACAACTTGCTCATCATTGCTTATGTACAAAAGAGGTGAACTCACTGTACCTGCATGTTTATAGCCATGCGTGTTTATACTTCTAGTGTTCTGTTCCATTGCCTGAGTAAAAACAAACATCATTACAGATCTCCAGTGTGAATTCAGGATGTTGTGTATGAATCCAAATAACTGAGTGTTTACGTACCTGGGCATTTTCTTGTCTTTTTTTGATTGCATGCTTATACAGTTTATGTAGTTTCCTTGCGTCAAACTCAGTGAATTTGGAAACAAATATCCAAAGGTTTCTGTAAAAGACAAACATCACTGCTAAGTATATGCAACATGTGGATCCAGATGAGAGTTGTATGGAGCCAGTACACTCCTTCATAACTGCTGGGCAGATGTGTGGTAGATTTTGGAACTGCTGATTTCAGGTATTAAAAATATCAAGCATTCTTACAGACACAGTGACCCAGTTTAAATCATGTTCATTCTTAACTTTGCTTTGAGTTTAACATGTAAAATATGTTATAGAATGACAGAGTGAATACGAACTTTCTCCACTGTTTGATCAGATCAGGATTTGAATACTCCTTCAGACACTCAGTGATGTGGTCCCCGATCTGTATGAGGCACTGTCTTGTATGTTCAAGCTGCTCGCGCTCCGACAGCCCCTTCTCCGGCCTGTCCAGCTGCTTCAGGGCTGCTTTCACTGGCCGCATCCTCTCCTTACACTGCAACATCCAAACACAAGGTAACTCGAGCAACTGCAATCCATAACTTTATTAAACCATTTATAATCAAAATTAGGGCCGGATTTTATCTTTGACTTTTAATTTCTAATAGTCAATGATAATCAATGTGCTGAGATACACAAAATATATCACAGCCTAATATTTCTTCACAATTCAGTAACTATGGCTGTCACGAGCTGAATATTTAACCTGATGAATTCTCTATCTATATGTTTGATAATCACTGGAACATACTACACTGAAGGTCCTCTGGTCCAGTTCCTCTGACTCCTCAGAAATTGGCACATTCTCTCCACTTGCTGTTATATGAACTGGCACATCAGAGGCTTTCTTTGTCCGTTCTCTGGCCTCCGTTTTTACTTCATTCTAATGAAAAGGATTTGAAAAAGAATTTGAAAATTGATTCCTAATCAAGTTATCATCTTTTGCCCTTTACTTTTTTTACATTTACAGCCTTCAATATAGTTCCCAGTTCATTTAGTTAATTGATACATGACATATAGAGCTATCGTTTCACCTTTTCAACAGTCTCCTCTTGTTTAACTGAGTCCAGCGCCTTTGTGTCCTTTTTATCTTTTGACTCCTTAATCTCTTTAATGTCCCAACTTTCCTCCTTCTTTTCCTTTTTGCCTTCTTTTTTTATCTCTTTTTCTTTGACCTCCATCTCCCCTGATGAAGAAACTTCCTCCTGCTCAGGCTCCTCATCGTCGCCGTCGTCGATGTCGTCATCATCATCATCGTCGTCGTCATCGTCGTCATCCTCCTCCTCCTTCAGCACCACCCGGTCTGCTCGGGCCCGTCTGCTCAGTGGTTTTACTGGTGCCATCTCCTGAAAAGGTTAAAGCACATTGCACATAAAAATAAAACTCAAAACAGAAAACAACTACATCATAATAGTTAGCATCTAAATATACCTTTTCCTCCTTAACTTCATCCTCATCATCTGATCTCTTGTCTGACGGGGGATCTGAGGATGGACTCTTTATCACCTCTTCTGTCTTTGTCGGCTTCAGAGTTTTACTTTTTTTACTTCTTGGTTTCCTCTTCCGTGAATTGGCCTAGATTCAAACAAAAAGGGATGGTATACATATTAATCCATCCATATTTAACTAGAAATATGGCTCATATCAGCAGTTACTAATAACTACTATATATATAAACACACATACACAAGTTGTTACATCATTTTGTTCTCAACAAATTATATAATGTACATCAGCAAAGATTTTCAAATTGAGTAATTTGTTCATCAAGATCTGATATGTGATTAAAGTGTTCCCTTAATGTTTTTGAGCAGTGTACATATACATACATATACAAATACACATATACATACATACAATGAACAAATTATTCAAGTTAAATCTTTATGATGTACATTGTATAATTTGTTGAGAACAAAATTAAAAAATAACGGTCAATAAACACCAAAATCAACCCATTGAGGGCTCGATTCAAAACCACATGCCAAAGTAAAATAATTGAATCGTAGGCTTATCCAATTTGTGTGTATTTCATCACGGCAACTCATAATGTGACTCAGTGTGTGTATGGCCTTTGTGTGCCTGTATGCACTCCTGACAATGTCTGGCCATGCTCCTGATGAGTTGGTAGATGGTGTCCTGGGAGATTTCCTCCACACTCTGGTCATAAGGCCGAGTATTGTCCTGCACCAGTAGAAACCCATGGCCCACTGCACCAGCGTAACGTCTGAGAACGAGGTGCCAGTCGGGCTGCACTGTGCTGAGCTGTCGCACAGACATGTCATAGCCAATGGTACACTGTTCCCGGATAACAAAGGCATTGATGCCATTGACTGGCCCTCTCGTTCCCCTGACCTAATTGAACACCTATAGGACATTATGTATCGCTGTATCCGCCCTCACCAAGTAGAGCTACGGACCATGCAGAAGCTCTCTGATATCCTGATTGAGGTCTGGGAGGAGATCCCCAGGACACCATCCGCTGACTCACCAGGAGCATGCCAGGAGTGCATACAGGCCCCACACACACACATATATGGCTATTTTAGTTGGAACTCAGGGTACCAAACTTTTAGAGTGCATTCTATATAACTGATTACGGCTTTTACATGTGTATGTATAAAGATAAGACGGAACCAGCTAAGGCAGAGATTTTTTTATGAAAAAGCATATTCAATTCAATTTGTATGGCACCAAATCATAATATACATTATCTCAAGGCACTTAACATAGAAGGTCAAGACCTTAAAATCATATTTAATATAGAGAAACCCAAGAGTTCCCACAATGAGCAGCACTGTCAGTGTCTCACTCATATCAGTGTAGGCGTACAGAGAAGGCTACGTGGCAGCAGCAAACAGTATAGTGCTGAATTAGAATTATCTCCCAGGTAGTGATGCAGAGGCAAGTTACCGTAACACTTACTGTCCCTGCTTGTTTCTGTGCTTCTTTTTTGGCCAGGTCCTTGCTCAGTAACTTGATGAGGTAGTCTGCTCTGGTCTGTAGTTGTTTGGCCTGTGGCTTCTTGTCAGGGTCATCTGGGAGGAGCTGATCAACAGTAGACAGTTAACATTGTTGTAAGATGTTTATGAAGGCAAAATTGTAAATGTGTATATTTTAAAATGTATAAAAGATTTGAAATCCAATATTTGAGTTGGCTGTTGAAAGGCAAAGACATTGCAATTATAGTCACTTCTCCTTAATGTCTACACACAAATGCACACACACACAGACATTAGCTTGCACTTGCTTCTTTACTGACTTTTGAAAGAAGGGCAAACTCACCTTGTGTGTGAGATTGAGGTCCGGGTCCATCTTAATCATCTCCCAGCTGCCATAACCATACTCATAAATTCCTATGAGCAGGCTGGAGTCATCCTCCTTCCCCCACTCAATGTCAAAGTGCGCTGCCTTCGAGTGGCATGGAATCATGTACCTATTGAAAGACAGTCAATTACAATCCAAACATACAAATACAGGAAGGAAAAAAATGGAATGGTCTGCTTTTCTCCAAGAACTGGCCATAAAACATAACCTGACTAGTATTTAAGCACGACATGCCAATAAGACAAATATCTATAATCAGTACTGGTGGGAAAAAGTAAACGCAGTTACATTGTTAATACATATATATACACACACACACACATATATGTACAGAAACTGTTTGGTCTACTCATCAACATAGATGTTAAACAGCTTCAATGATTCCTTTAAACCTTAATCTGTTACTCTGAGCTTCTTTTGTGTGTCTGATTATTTAGCTTTGTGATATGTTTGGAGTCATCTTGCCAGGATGCCCTCTTCTAGAGAGAGAAGACACAAGACTAAATCATCTCCATCTATGGACTGTTTGTCACTGTGAACTGATCAATACCTTAAGTCTCATAAGTCTTCTGAGATCCTTCTTGTGAACAGCAAACTCAAAATGTAAAAGTAGCTCTAACGCACACACCTCCAATCTCTTTCATTGACTGGGCCCAAGGTTTACTAAATCCCTACAGCAGGAAGCTTTGCCATTATGACAAGGGTTGGCTTCCATTATATACTGTGAATGTTGGATTGATGATGGATTCAGAAAGGAAAAGAACAACACCATGATTTGTGCTATTAGTTAAAAAGATTTTGTTAGTTCATATAGGTAAGATTATGGCACAAGACTAATTTAAATCTAAATGAAGACAAATCCTGTGGGTTAACTTTAATCACAATTCTTGTTTAAGGGTTGCTGCCCACTAGAGGACTCTCAACTCTTGACTGATTTTAAAAACGTGGGAGACAACAGACATAATGACAGATTTAACCAAGTTTTAATCCTCTAACACAGACACTGGACGATTTGGCCAGAATGTCAGACCACACACTTCGTTTGTAGGAAACAATTTCACAGTGGCGATTTCAGACACTTGAAATCTTGTGATATCTTCTTCAGTTTTTTTTTTCAATGGAGTTTGGCAAAGAACTTTGAGATGCATTACCGCCACCCTCTGAACTGGAATGTGAAACCCTTGCACAATTAAGCGTGACTTCAGAAGAAAAACAAACATGGAGGATTGACTAAAATCAGTCAGATTATCCTCTAGTGTGCAGAAGCCTTAACAGAAATCATGTCGTGTATCTGGAGCCTTACTTCTTTCTCTCCTCTGGGTCAGCAGGAATGGCCTTGTGGAGTGGAGCCAGCTCTTCCTCATGGGAGATAACAAGCTTGGCATTTACCTGGACACCAGAGATCCTGAATGTTGGGCCTTTTACTTTCCCTCTTCTGCCTCCTGATGATCAAACAAGAAAAATAAAGTGTCATCAAGTGTCATGCTTTAATAGAACTTGAATTAAAAGAACATTTCTTTGAGGGACATGTCACTGGAGCATTAATGTAACCCGCTCTGTGTGCCCCTCATTTAAGTTGGGCAAGTTATGAAAAGCCAGGTTCACTCGCCATGTTGTATATACTGTAAACATGAACCCCAAACTGTGTGCTGCATCCAGTATCCGTTGACTGCTCGAATTGGGAGCCAAGCAGAAATGAATGCACTGGCACCCTATAATAATCACTTGTGGCGACCTGTCCCTGTGCAGCAAAATGTATTTATCTGGAACTCCACAGTTTATTAATTTGATCATAACATATGATGTGCACTGGTGCTACTGCAGATTTGGCTGTTCAGCAGGTGCTCTAATTTCATGTTGGCCTAGGATCAAATCTAATCAAACAATTTAGAAATTAGATCTTTTAACTTTAGCAAAAATCTTTGTTTTCCATAATGGACTGATGGACTCTTTTTGGTTACCTGAGTTCTTGTCTGGTCCACAGGGATTTTCACGCAGTGTTCTCACACAGCCATTGTGAACAGTCTCTGCCAATCGTTTCAGGTCATGCTCAGATTTATCTACAAGTTCGGCATCACGAGCAATGGCATCCAACCTTAGTGAAGAAGACACATGTTGAGCAGACTGCGTGTTGTTGTTGTTATTATAAAAAAAAAAAAGAAATCTCATGTTGCTTACCTTTCCAGTGGTCCTCCAAATTTTTTGTAACTCTTAACAAACCTGTAGGTAGTTCACAGAGATATTAACAACAACGTTAAGAATATATAAACAGCCACAGTGAGAAATCACTTATTAATATAATCACCTCCTGATCTCAGCATCGTTGAAACCCTTGATATTTTCTCGTGGGATGGTCCTGGGCCGCCCTCTTTTCTTTGGCCTCTTTCGGTCTGAGGGGGAGTCACTGTCGGACCCAGAGTATCTCCTGTTCCTACTCTGTCGGCCCTCAACAGCATTAAAGCTTATCTGTTTACGAAAAGGAAAAAGACAAATCACCTGGGGGTTCATCGAGAACCAAAACCTGCAATACAACTCAAATTTTAAAATACTACTAAACATTTCATCGAAAAATTAAAAGCATGAATATTGAGTCCTAATTATATTTGCCATGACAGCTTATTTACCTGTTTGGCACAATTCCTCATACGTGGCAGCAAGTAGATTTCTTCCAGCTCCTTCTGTCTCTCCTCTTCCTCCATCCTTCTCCTCTGCATCTCAGGAATTATGTCATCCCAACTCCGCTGACTACGCTCAGAGTCAATGTCTATTTCCTCATCCTCCATCATGGAGAAGTTGGCTACCTGCACACGTTAAGTCAACAAACAACTGTAAATGTTAATTTGCTGAGAAGCAGAGTACGACCGTTTTGGATATTGTTTAAGCAGCTCCTGAAACAAGAAGGATTTTAACCTTGAACTGTGACAGAAGCTCTTCTCCCACTGTCGAGGGTCCAGGGTCATTCTCCCTGGTCTCAGCTCTTTTGAGGATCTCATCAATGTCCATTTCCTACAGAGCAGAACAGGCTATGACATGACACCGCAATATATTTCAGAAAGGGTGTTTTTATGTACATACAATTGAGTATAAAATGACAGACCTGGGGTTCCTGCTCTTCTCCCTCTAGCTCTTTGAAAAGCTCCTCAGCACCAAACTTCAGGATGGCAGAAAGCTCCTCCTTATTGAAAGGTGCCGAACTGGAGGCAATAAAACAGAGTTATATAACAATGACGTGTGGCAGCAGTTTTTAGTGGAATACAAGGACTTTAGATGAAATTACTTTTGGGGGAAAAAAAGGCACATTCATCTTAGCAAGCCTGTCAATATCGAGGCGATCAACAAGCACCAGAATTTAAGATACAAATGGACATTGACACAGAGGAGGGAAGTTAATCAAGTAGCAGAATGTGGAATATATTGCTTGCCTCGAGGGAGCAGCACCAGTATGGAGCACGGTTTTGCCTGTAGTGTCCATCCTCTGAATGACAAGGTGGTCCAGCACCATTTTCTTCTTCGCTCTCTCAATGATGTCCTCCTCCACTGAGCTTTTAGTCACCAGACGGTAGATATTCACCTGCCAGTCCACAAGCAAACAGTAAAATATACAGTCAAAAGATCATCAATAGGTGAGCATGTAAACAAGTTCTGGTGGTGCATTCAGATAAGGTAGATTTATATCTACTCAGATGACCTAAGTGGGGCGAGAACACAAAGTACATTTTGTTTGATAATGAAAATAATTTCACTACCTCAAGTCCAAGTCATTCTCTTGTAGAAGATTTTTTCAATGGGTACAGTCTGGCTAGGAGATAACTCTTGGTGAACTCACAGCAACTCAATACCATCTCTAGTCTCTGGCTTTTGTATCATTTTGAGTGTGAAAAAACTGTTAATGTACATTCCCTGGTCCTGGCTCTACTGGAAACAATTTCAGCTTTCAAAACCAACACCAGTCAGGCAGATTATTACTATATTATTATTATTATATTACAATTAGGACTTGAAGCACTTACATCGTCACAACTAAACATTGACTGCCAACTCCATGATGCATATATATATGTGACAGCTGACCTACCTGTGGCAAAACACATTACAACAAACAAAGAACATGAAATGTAGAGGTTTATGGCACATGCTTCCTACCTGTCTTTTCTGTCCGATTCTGTGGGCTCGGGCCTGGGCCTGCAGATCATTCTGAGGGTTCCAGTCTGAGTCAAAGATGACTACTGTGTCAGCCGATGCCAGGTTTATCCCCAGACCACCCGCACGCGTTGATAACAAGAAGCAGAAGTCCTAGGCACACAAGTGGAGTTGACTATAAGGTCATGGCACATTCAAATGAATAACAATCTACACTTACTGTTAGCTGAACATAGCTCAGAGAACTTACCTCTGAGCCCTCTGCATTAAAGTGGTCCAACGCCTGCTTCCTCATCTCTCCTTTGATGGAGCCATCTAATCTCTAGATGAATAGACAAAAAACATCAAATTAAGAAATGTATAACAGGCATACAGTAGCATCAGAAAGTATTCAGAGCCCTTCACTTTTACAAACTTTGTGCCTTTCATTAAATTGTGAAGAGTGCTACTGAGATGGTCTTCCTTCCAGTTGTTTTCTTGGTAATCTCTCTCTATTTAGTCAAATGGCCAATTCTAGGATAAGTGCCGGTGCTTGCAATGTCTTCTATTTTATAATTACAAAGGTTGGCTACATCTCAGCAGAAAAATGCTGCAGGCTAGATGTAAAAGTCGTAAAACTATAAGGCGATGGTCCAATCAATTTCAATTGGGTCAGACAAGAACATATTGACCAACCAATTGGCCAGCTGAATGGGAGATGTTTCCAACATCTTGTGGAATCTATCCCACAACGAACTGTTGCTGTTTTGAGCACAAACTGTAGAGCTACCCGGTATTGGTGTGGTATTCTTGATAAAGTGTTTGTTGAGAGGTATGTACAGTATGTGATGGTCATGTGAGAACAGTGTGTAGCTACCTGAAAGAGGAACTGTCGGCTTCTCAGGTAGTCAGCAAGGATATCCAACATCCGTACCATCTGGGAGAAAATGAGAACTCTGTGGCCTCGCTCCTTCAAACGCACCAGAAGTTTGTCCAACAGAACCAGCTTCCCACTGCTGCGGATAAGGTGCTGTTGGAAGAAAGAGAGACTTACCATTATTTGTCAAGCCTCCTCAAGTAATGTCAAGAAAGAAATAAATATACTCTGAACTGTGTCAAATGTCAACAGAATATCTGCACAAACTTTGATATGAATTACAATAATAAAAACAGTTTTAATACTAATACATACAGTTTATACAGCAGGATGGATGACATGACTAATTTTGGGAAGTTTCATAAGTTAAGGCAAAATGTAATACATATTTATTGATTCACATTTATACTGATAGGGTCATCAGAAATAGGCCAGTATAAGACTGGGGATGAGGAAACAGCAGTGCTGGTTAAATGGCAGAAGATGATAATCATTAACTGGATGTGTTTCATCCACTGAACCTCATTAGATTATGCATTTGTGTTTTTGTACCCGAGTTGATTCAGTGTCTCCTTTGCTTGATAATCATCCATCATCATCTACATATGTACACCAATTTCACAGTTTTAAAACTTATTCTGGTTGTCACTCATATCCCTCTAAACATGATGCTGCTAGTATTATATTGGATCACAAAACCAGGTTCTTATGTCCACAAGTGGAAGTTGAGTCATTCTTTTTTGAAAGGGACAACTTGTTTGTATCAATGTAAACCCTATCGTTAAAAGACATTAACACAAAATAAACAGACCTGCAAGGCTTCGGCCCTGTTGAGGAACTCGTTGTCCTCTGGAGGCTTGATCAGGTAACAGTGGTTACAACACTTCTTCAGCTCCATCATGATGTTCAGGAAACCTGATGTGCTGCCTTTGGTACCTTTACTAAGAGCCTTGTAGTTCCTGGTCAGGATCCATCTGATCACAAACAGAAATCACAAACACAGAAAACATTTAATATATATTTGTCGTTTCTTCTGCAACAGTGAAGTTAAAACACTGCGTCATTATCTGCGGGAAGAACTGCTTTTCTGTCTGCAGGAGTGTGTATGTGACTGTATGTGCTCGTCTCTGCCCCTCTTTGCACACAAACTGATAATCACATGTATTTAGTTGTTAATCGATTGGTGTCAAATTATGAATCCGGTCACTTAAGGTGTGGACATTTCTAGATTCTTAAATGCATCAATGCAGAGACAGAACATAATAGATTCATGTTTTCCACTACATTCATTGTTTTAGTGATGTCCTGTCGCTGCATAATTATAACCAGGGCTGCTTCAGGATCAGACAGACGCTCATTCAAGGTCCGGCCATCTTGTGTGAGAGTCTGTCAGAGTCTGCTTCATCCTCACTCCTCTTGTTTATCCTTTTAAGCCTTAGGTGCAGCACACAAGTCTAAACTGAATGAATGTCTAATCAGTGTGAAGAGCACTGAACACTGTCATTCACTTACTGTTGTAGTCTGATTTTTGAGTTGAAAATCTTATTTGTAAATTACATAATTGTAATGACGGTAATAGTCCATAATTCTTTTTAACGCACTTTCTAAATAAAAAAAGGAGTTCACGTTTGTCTGACTTATGAACTTATTAACTGATGAAAAAGCAGCCACATGCAGTAATATAGAAAATTGTGGATATGATACATTGAAATGCATCAAGATGCATTGTTGTGATTGGAACGTTGACTGCTGAATCGTAATCGAATTAAATCATAAGGCTAGTGAAGCTGCACACCTCTACCTCACATTTAACCTGATGTCCTACCTGTGCACATTGGGTTACATCTCATATTGTGTAGCAGGTTTACTCCTCCACTGGGAATTGGAAAGGAGCTAATTGCCATTAATTCATAATCAACCTATCCCCACTAATTTCGGTGTACAAGAGGTGAGAGTTTGTAGGGCACGTCCAAGGTTTTATGATAGAATAATTGGGGCTGTGTTCATACATCATCCTCCTCAATCAAACTCCTTAATTACTCCAATAAAACCTGCAGTGGTGCAACAAGGCTCAATCTGCCTTAACTTGGGTTTCCTGGTTCACAATTTATCCTCTCATCATCTTCAACACAAACACACCACAGTTATTTTGGGCATTAGTAGATATTTGTGTCTTAATAATAAAATTGTTTGTTTCGCTCGTCTGGCAAACAGGTGTGAAATTAAAGGTGCATGGCGATGACTATTAAATAAAAGCATGCTTTATTTGACAAAGGGTAGTTTCCAGCTCTTACTTGTAATACTGTTTCTGAATCGCGCTCATCTCCACTCGGAGGATCTGCTCCACTTTGGCAGGAAGGGATTTCTCCACATCCTTCTTGACTCTGCGCAATAGAAAAGGCTCCAGTTCTTTGTGCAGACTGGTGTAGCCGGAATCCCTGCCTTTACCATGCTCCTCCTCAAATAACTCCCAAGAGTGAAACCTTAAAAACATGACAGAAAAACAGTGCGGTTGTAGCGATAAGGTAAACTCAAGTTACAATTCCTAATTTTTTCCTCCTTAAAGGCAGAACATGCAAACAACGTATCATCTTACTTTGTACAAAGCATCTCAGGTTTGTTTGCATGATACTACCATATTTCAGAATTTTTTTAATGTGCTTACTTACTGGACCAATAAAACAACAACAAGTTTTTACTTTACTTTCTCTACGTCTTTTGTCAAGCCTTTTATTTGTATAATTGAGGCCTTTTAGAGCTTAAGAGGTCAAATTAGAATATGGAGGGCCAACAACGGCGAGACAATTAATGGGAAACACTGGGAAAGACATCAATTTTTGCTGTGATAGATATCAAAATGTACTGAACATGTATATCATACTTCAGGTACAAAAACAAAGTTAGTCTTCTAGTGTAACAACTGATGTGGCCTACTTTTCAGGCATAATGAAGTGCAGTAGGGACCAGAGCTCTTTCAGTGAGTTCTGCAGCGGTGTTCCTGTGATCAGAAGCCTGTGATTGGACTTGAAGTCCATCATGGTCTTATAGAGGAGGGAATCGTCGTTCTTCAGTCTGTGTGCCTCATCCACACCAATGAATGCCCAGTTAACACTGCCCAAAAACGACTGGAGACACATATACAGTTATATTACATGTTAACATTGTACTGTACATCTTTAGAACAGAATAACTTTAATCATTGCTGACCTTATCTTTGAGAAGAATCTCATATGTGGTGAGAAGGATATTCAATTTCAGTCTCTTGCTATGGACATGCATCCACTCATGTGTCCTGATCTATAAAATCAAAACACAAGTGAAAAGAAAAGATACAAAATGTTAAGACAGCCATTAACATACTGCGATCAGGATGCTTGCACTCATACATCTTAACCATCAAATGAAGGAAAGGAGGGAATATGAAATTGCATCAACACAGTACACATTTTTCCCCAGGTATGACCTTGTGCCCAGACATTCCCCCTACTGTGTGTTTGACAGGTGCCTGAACCATCATACCATGTTCCTGCTGCTGATGTCTCCCAGGTAGACCACAACATTCATCTGAGGCGCCCAGAGTTGGATTTCTCTCTGCCAGGAGGTGAGTGTAGAGAGAGGCACAACGAGCAGGAAAGGTCCATATAGTTGATGTTCATTGAACATGTAGTTGAGGAAGCTGATGGTCTGGATGGTCTTCCCTAAGCCCATCTCATCTGCAAGGATACAACTGTTGCCTCTACCAATGATGACAAAGCAGAGGAGACAAATAGCAAAGTTCAGATTGGGTATCGGCAACACATCTGAGTTATGAAGCATTCAATATTTGACCATGGGGTACATCCCATTCATATATTAGCTGTTAACATGCAATTGGATGCAAAACTTTGGAAAGTGTTCATTTTTGATGTGAGACAATCAAGCACAGCCCCTGCATTAACAGAAATTCAAATAAAACTTGCTCCTAATGTACTATTGCTATTTATTTTGTGAATTACTGGTGGCAGAATAGTTATTACTAAGTATTGCCTTAAGCCAAAGAACAGATGTGGACTATTGGTGGGCCTATGTGGGTTTTTAAATGGCAGAGGATGATGTTTAGAAAGCAGGGCTGACAACAACTCTGACCTTACGCTGTCGTTTTTAATTAATTTATAATTTCCCCCAAAATTATGAACTATTATTAAGATTTGTTTGACACAATCTATTCAATTACATTTGAAAATAAAAAGAGCTGAAATGGATTTGCAATTGGTACTGTGCATATTTACATTTTATATTTAAATGTAAATAACCAAACTCTATAAAAAATATAAACATATTTTAATGTCTGCCAACATTTTTTGTTCATCAGCCTAGTAACCACAGACATTGGACACATTCCACACAAGTGCACCAATAAATATCTTGGTGACCACTTCACAGCGAGATGAGGAGCTTGTTTGTTTCAGGCTAAACAACAATGGTTTATGAGTGCTTCCTAAGAACCCGGCAGGGGAGGTGAACCTACCAGTGTTTCTTAAATTATGATGATAATCCAAGTTTCAGATATCTTCAATTTGTCAATCAATCAAATTTTATGTGTATAGCACATATTCACAAATGACAATTTGTCTCATAGGGCATTAACGGGGTGTGTCCTCTGCCCTTAACCCTCAACAAGTTCATTTAATTCTGACTAGTCATAATCCAAGTTCTAGATGTCTTAAATTCACCTGAATTCCCAAATGTGTCAGACTATTTTAAGATTTAGGTCCTATACACAAGCCTAAACTGAATGAATACATGTAGAAAGCATCAAAATATCTAAATGAGGATTGATGGGTGTGTATCTCTATCTTTATATCGATATGGGGACTACTATGGTAGACCTTTGGACAATGCAATCTCAGAATTTAGGGAATGCTTGAGTCATACTTGCACCAGGAGTGGGCCATCCAGTTTAAACTGTCCAGCTGGTAGTCTCGGAGCTCCAGTCCATCACCTCCTATGTAAGATGGCTGCTTCTTCATGGGTACAAACCTGGGTCTCTGTTTGAGTACCTACAGAAAAGAAAAGACAGTCAGTCACAGATTACACTAAGTGGGACTAAATTCAAAACTCTACTAATCGACCAAGGACCAACACATTATCAACCAACACCAGTAGAGACTTGGCAATACATTACCTTGCAGTCTCTGGATGGAATGGTCTTGGACTGGTTTCGGCTCATATAATCATCGATGCATTTCTGGAACTTCCTGGCAATCAAGGCACCGTCTTCCCAACTACACTCCGAGTATGGTAAACCCTGCCACTTGCACAGGTAGTCTGGATAACCAGCCGCTGACTTCTGATTTGAATGACCTGCTCAAAGGAATTTTGAAAGCACATTTAGTTATTCAAATCCAGTGGCTCCAAATATACATATAACTGAGCAATACACAGCACAAAGCACACCTATGATTCTTTCCACTATTTTGTACTGAGAGTGCAGGTCATCAATCAATTCTTCCTGACAGTTGAAGTATTCTATATCCTCTGGTGAAGCCGCCTTTAACCTGGGAAGACAGAAAGTAAAACAATTAGAAAGTAAGCAAAACACTGTATTTAGTTCAATCTTTCAGTTGGTACAAAATAAACGTTAGCATTTCCAAAATTCTGTTTGCAATACCACACATTAGCAATGCAATAGTCCAACCGAAATAAATGAGTCCTCCTTTTTTATATCATATATAGGTGACTAAAATTCGACCAAGGGTGGACAAATCAACATCAGTCACATAGGGATGAGGGCAGCCGAGGGCCACTGGAGAGATACAAAGAGGGTTAGATATGCATAATAGTCTTGTAGTCATGTCAATGGATTTATTTCTGCACATGGCTATTTTGACACACTGTTGATTGTTTTGGTAAGTTTAGGTTCAAATCAACAGAAATGATGACTGGGTTGTTTGTATTTTAGTATACTTTATTTGTGTGTGCAGAAGGATAGCAGTGCCTATATTTAGATATTTCCTTAGTGAGGATATGGTCAATGTCTTGACCAAGGAGAATGACTGTTTATACTGTGGTTGTTTTCATCATATTTGTCCTGGTAGACTTTACTGCTGATCAGTGGGGGACGGTGCAACTCTCACTATCTGAGTTTACAATTGTGATAAAGTAAGCAAGATTGAAAACAAGCTCTCACCATTTCTTTTTTTCCTGGTCCTTCTTTTTAAAATTGTCCAGTTTCTTCATGCCCTTGACGTTCTGCAACTTGAGTGTCTCTTCTGTCTCCCAGGTATTGTGGATATGGGCCCAGTTCTTCCACTTTATCAAATACTGGACATCACCGGCCTCTTTGTTGGGATTGAAGTTGGTGTTAGGGTCCCCGTCTGCTTCTACAGCGTATACAGTGGTCACACTTCCTATTGCTGTTTGGAGAAAATATATAATATCAATAGTAATTCATTCATCAATAGAACTTGGATAACAAGTTGTTTGGTAAAATCTCTTCTCTCTCTCCTGGAGATTGTACTCGCTCAACCCAAGTTACGTAGTGCAAGAGCAGGCGTTCAGGGCAGAATGAAATAGGGGCCGATAACAAGTCGGTTTACCATCAAAATGATTTTTTAAGCTGTTATTTTAAGTTAAATAATGAAAGAAACTATTGGAGACTACATAGTAGTAGATAGTCGATGGCATTCAGTTTTCGTGTGGTATCTTTACCTCTTTTTCTTCCGATCCTGCTGTCCATCACTCTTTCCAGCGTTTCAAACTCATCTTCCTCAGGCTGTGGGACATCTTCACCCAGAACTTCCACTACATCGTCTGAGTCTGTCTTAAGTTCCTCATCCTCTTTGTAGCTAATGTTGACTGTGGCCTGCCGCCGTGGTCCTGCAGATGCTACCTTCTTGTAGTTATCATCCTCATCCTCAGAAGAAGAGCACTTCTTATTCTTCTTCTTCTGAGAGCTGCTTTTCTTCCCATTCCGAAAATTCATCCTGAGACATGACAAAAAGTGAAAGATCAATATCTAAACTGCTAAGGTGAGTGACCACTGAGAAAGTAAATAATTGCAAACAGACAGTGTGACAATCCCTCTCACATTTGTGACTAGAAATAGAGATGTGCAGACTATAAAATGAATTCAGGAGCATGTTTGCAAATAACATGTATTACAAGATTCAGCCCAAGCACTTACACACATGCAAAT